CCTGCCCCGCGCCTCCCCCGAGGCTAGCTCACTCCTAAGAAGAAGCCAGTGAGGTTACAGGGGTTGTGACACCTCTCACCTGAGAGGCATTGCTGACATTCTGATAATAGTGACTTTGACCTCTGCCATGTCTGAGTAGACAGGCACCAGCTGAGAAGGTACTTACCCCAGGGTACAGCTACTTTGGGACAGAGGGAGCTGAGAACCTGCCCGGATCCCATGCCTTTCTATGTAATGTTCTTACTCAGTGATGCTGCCTTCCCCCGAGAAGCAAGGCGAATTTGCTTTCAGTCTTAGGTACACCAAGAAACAGACTAGCTACCTTCTACCAACAATCAGGGCCCACGGGGCCTACGAATTCCTCCCTTCCTGACTTCCTTGTTCTTGCGATCTCATTTTCCAGGTCTTCAGAAAGCAGAGTCTGGACACAGAGGCTCAAGACCCAACCATCTACCCCGCCAGGGCAGCCTACTCAGGAAGGAGCTGTGCTGGAGGGTGGCCGGACTCGGGGTGAGCAGAATGCCCACCTGTCAGGTCTTGTTCGGTGCAGCCCAAGAGCCCATGTGCAGTCTCCTCATGTTACAGGTGAGGAAACTGAGGCATAGAAAGAGGAAGAGACCTCCTCCTGAGAAAATGGCACCTTTAGTCCTCTCTCTCTCTTTGTTAATTCAGCCATCAACATTTTTAGGTGTTTTCCTGTGCGTAGAGGTGCACCAGGATTGAAGAGCAGGGGCGTGGAGAGGGTATGTGTTTGGTAGAGTGGTGGGGGGAGATAAAGGTGAGGTGGGGGAGACAGCTTGAGGTCTAAAGCACCCCCAAAACTGGGTTATAAAATAGGTTCTAAGAGATGAGTTCTTCACCCCCAGAGAGCTCGCTGTGTTTCAGGTTGAGGGAATGGGGAAGGGGTGTGGGCGGGGGCACTGCCAGGCAGTGTGACCACCTGGAGCAGAGTGGCAGATATGGAGGCCGCTGTGCTTCGGGGTTTCCTTGGCTGGTCCAATTGCAGTGGTGAGCCCCGAGTTCAGACAGAAGTACCCCTGACCCCGCCTGATGTAGGTAGGGCCTCCTTGGCACAGGATGGCTCCCACAGCCACTGGCACTCTCCCTGCCTCCCAGGTGAGCCTCATCTGCATGTGCGTGTCCTGCTACCCCTTCCAGCCCCCGACCGACATCATGGGGACCCTGGACCAGTTCTCTGAAGACAGGTTCAAGAATGGGTAGGGTGAGGAGGGCCCCACCGCAGCTACAGCCAAGTCCGACCTGGCTCAGCAGCCGCTCCTGGAGGCTGGGTGGTTGTCCCTGCCACTGTTGACCTAAACCCTGAGGAAGACGGTGGGAGAAGAGCCCCCTTGATGGAAGATGGGACCGCAATGGGCTCAGCATGTATTCTGTGTCCCCGAATGGTGCCAGGGCATGAGTGGGCTCTGTGGGAAGGTGATGCTGTGGCAACTTCTCCTCACTGGAGACAGAATTTGCCTGCTTTGGATGAAGAAGTGGTGACATGATTTCTGGGTGGAAGAAGTAACGTAAGCTGCCAGCTGGACCCGATGCCGCGTAGGTGTGGGCTCTGTGGTCTTCTTCAGACCCAGGTTCCCTAGGAGGGCAGCTGAGGTGGCAGCTGGTAGGGGGTCGGAGTGGGGGGCCAGACGCCCCAATACCAAACAAAGCTGGGGTAGGATGAGGAGAGGAGAGTCTAGTCCAGCCCCAAGTGGAAAGATGGACCCAGGTTTGAGCTGGGCTGTCTGATGGCGGCTGAGGAGAGGTGGGCAGTAGGTGCGAGCCCCACTGTGAGTGTCCCCTTCCCACACCTCCTCCTCCCAATCCAGGGCTGCCCCATACTCACTGTTGCTGCACTGCCGCCCGCCTCGCCAGTCCTGGCCTGTGTCGGCCCAGCAGTTCCGGGTCCGGGTGGGGTACTCATTCCCAGCCTTGGAAAAATTCCCCACCTGGGGGCCATAGTAGACCCCCTGGGAGCCAAGTCCACCAAAGCCTGCCACATGGGGGTAATTGGAGAGCAGGCTGCTGTTTGGCGTGGCCACGGGCCTGCTCAGGATGTCTGTGATGCCATGGGGGGTCCCGGCGGCCAGCTGGGGGCCCAGCCCCGGAGGGCTGAGCTTGTAGAAGGAGTTCTGCACGGAGTACTGGCACACGGGGGC